CCCCCCCCCCCCCCCCCCCGGGTTGGTCGCTCACTAGCCCCCAGGGATGGGGAAGAGAATCAGAAGGGCAAAAGTGAGAAAAACTCATGGGCGGAGATAGACAGTTTAGTAAGTGAAAGGAAAGAAAAAGAGAACGAGATCAAAGGCAATTGCTCACTACTTCCCACCAGCAGACTGTTGCCCAGCCAGCCTCTGATCAGTGGCTACTTTGGAAACACCCCAGTTTCACTGCTGAATATGATGTTACAGGGTATGGAATATCCTGCTGGTCAGTTTGGGTCAGCTGTCCCAGCTGTGTCTCCTCCCAACCTTTTGCCCACCCCTACTCACTTGGGTGGCAGGTTGACAAACTGAGAAAGCCTCGGTGGTGTGCAAGCACTGTTCAGCAACAGCTAAAACATCAGTGCGTTACCCACACGGGTCACGAATCTGAAATGCAGCACCATATGGGCTTCTATGAGGAGAACTGTGTCTCAGCCAGACCTGATAGAAAAGGCAATGCGTTTTGAACTTGACATGTAAGATAGTCTGCTTTTATCTTTTCTGTAGACACAGTAATGCTTGGGTTTTGTTTCTCTAACTGAAGGAGGATGAGGCTTGTAAACAGAAATGTGCTGGATTATAGCAGCTTTTTTTTTAAAACAGGTATGGCACATATAGAGAAAAAAGAGGTCATGGAGGATAAAAATGTTTTGACAGAAGAAACAAGAATGAATGTCACTAGAAAATAATGCTACAGGTTTCACTTATTTATGTGGAAATAGCAAGGAAATAATATAATAAGAAAATATTGTATTAAATGGTAGCATGTGTTCCTATGCAAAACTATGTTGCATCTAGGTGCATGTGCTGATCAGCTGCAAATTTTAATAATAATATATCATTTTAATGTACATTCTGCAGAGCTACACACTTAGACTCTGAGACGTTTGACAGTCTATAAGTATGTTTTATTCCAAATGAAATTTCTAATGAAAAAATGAGGATTTTTATTCATTTTCTGTAACACCATGTACAATCCTTATTCACATCAAACTCCTATTATTTTTTTTTTTTTGCCTAAGTAATGACTGAAGGTTAAGTTCTCATTTCAGTTGCTTTCAGAAATATACGGAGTAATTCAGGGCATTGTCAATGGCTGTATTTACTTGTTTACATATGTCCCGTATTGCTGGGACTGAGGCTTTAGGTGAGCCTTAGGACTTAGGAGAAGAAAGAGCTTGGCTTTGCTCTACCTATTAGTGTAAAGTCAACACTAAGTCTTCCAGTAATGCTTATGGGGGGACAGGGATATGTCTATCTGTCTGTGTCTTCTGTACATGTCGTGGTGCTTTTTGTGTAATTGATATGGCTGATTTTGGACACAGAAGTTCTCTCGGTTTCTTTTTGGAAAGGGTCATTACTTTGTCTGTCATGGGAATTCAAGGGAGTTAAACAGCAGATGCCCACCTTTTGGAAGTGAAATGTGCGGATTCAGGTCACAGTAGACCCGAGGCCATGCTCTACTCTGTCATCTAAGCCTATAATGGTGGGAAAGGGTTATCTAAGCAAGCTACTCCAGATTCTCAGTGACGCAGTAGATACCAGATTGTGGATCGAACTATGGGTTCCAGGATTATTCCTGAATGGTTTAAAAAAGGTTTCTGGATAAGGAAATGATAAACTTATTCTAACAGTTGGCCATTTGTGCGAATTGTCTGTCATTTTGTATGTCCAGTGTTAGTAACAATATTGCAACGTTTTAAGTGTTTGCAAGAGTGAAGTATGCATGTTCATTCTGTCCCTGAACAAGCGGCCAGTGACTGTTATATAATGATTTTCTGTACCATGTCTAATGCCTTGGCACTACTTTTATTATGTCTGAAGGGTTAGTATAAATGAAGTACTGCAACAAATTCTTCTTCCATCATAACCTCATCCAGATTTTGTTTTTTAAAATGTAAGGGAATACTTTTTAAAAACCCTATCGGGGGGGAATTTTTCATTTTGCATAATGAACCCCCATCATGAATCCTAAGTGGAGGGTGTTTTACTAAACTAATCTTAGAAATGAATCTTAGTGTTTAAAAGAATGTAAGCAACTTGCAGTTCCTTTAATGTGAAACATTAAGGAGGATGTATGAAGAAAAAAGAAAATCTTTTATTGTATGCTTGCTTTAACTTCTGGTGTGTGTTAGGTTCCTATAATTCAGGACTTAGTGAAGACAATTAACAAATCACACACACCCTCACCAATGTCTAAACATGGCTAGAAAAAGTAAAATATTAGCCTTGTTATCTATACAGAGAATGCTAATGCCTATAATTGGTCATTGCCTGACCCTTATATTTTTCTGTCCTGATAACTCTGTCAGCCTGGAAGCTAATTCTGTGCTTTTTGTGAAATCTTTCAGTGGTGTTATCAGGGAGAGTGCGTACCTTTTGGCACTTGGCCCCAGAGCATAGATGGGGACTGGGGTTCGTGGTCAATATGGGGAGAGTGCAGCAGGACCTGCGGGGGAGGAGTCTCCTCATCTATAAGACACTGTGACAGTCCAGCGTAAGTAGCTAAAGTAAGCCAGAGCCAACAAAAAGACACATTTGGAAATTATTCAAAACTGTGGTTTCATATGTTATCTGTAAAAATGTATTGCTAGTTTGCCAACATTTGTCTTCAAAATAGCAGACAGAAACACTTAAACAGGAGAAGTTCACTAGACATACTTTTAACATTTTTAATGTGTCTTATGTACTGTAAAGATAGCTGGATTTATATTTAGCAGTCACCAGAATGGTTTTCTTTCTGCAATTTGCTGTTCGTGCAAAATATATTTAAATTATGCCTTAGATAGATTTCTGAAGACATATTATCTCTAATGCTTGTCTAGGGTATAAAATAACTATGCCAGTTACTTATTAAAAAAACAACACGGTATTTCCAAGCTTTTGCATACAACTGCTTACATATAAACCATAGTTAGTAATATTATGTTACATACAGTGCATTTATATGCCGTCATGTCCAACACTTAGTTGTGATTTCTCACTGACTCTTAAAACATGTAAGCAACTTCTCTCCTTGCCACTACTCTGTATTGGTCCATCTACTCCCTCTCAAGAGGGGTCAGCTTCTCCACTACAGCTTGATCTGTTTTGTGTGTCTGTACTGGTCCTGTCATCTGTCTGCTTTCCAATGTCCTGAGCACTGTTCCAGAGGAGGTCTGTCAGGTAAGTGCTCCTCTCCCAGTCAGTGGCACTTCTGAGGTGAAGAATGCGTGTTTATTTCCATTGCTGTTCTTTGCTGAATGAATGACTGCTTTTTTCTGTTGCTGCTTGCCCTGTTCTGGTTACCTTATCACAGCTACAGCCCTTTGCAGATGGATAGTTTTATTACTCTGTACTTTGTTCTTGTCATGTCCCGTAATTGCTGTTTCCATCACCATTAACAGTTTTTAAGACCACTTTTTCTTGAAAACATGAAGCTTTTGTGCTTCTTGCATGAAAAACCATTCTGTGGCTTTTGTCACTCCTTTCGTATCTTCTACTCTCTGTACACTTAGTTTCTTTGTTTCTTGTACCCATGTTTTGCAAGCCAGGCTGTACATCAGCTTTACTCTGCGTGCTGCAAGACAGACATCATAATGTGACATTACTGCTGTTTAAGGTGGTCTGTTCAGCTCCTATCATTAGCAATAACTATCAAATCTGAAAAACAGCACTACTTACTGAATGGATTCAAAAGCGAAAATTATCTATGTTCATCAATAACATGTCAGACTATGTTACAGAGAGAATAATAAATTGAATTACTATTTTTTTTCACAGCAGTGTGTAAAAATGCTAGTGAAATGTTTGTTTGGAGCATGAGTAATTTCCTAAGATTTTTTAACTACTCCTGTCACCATGTGTATGGGTTGGTATGTTGAAAGGTGAATAAACATTAAATGTTTAACAGTACAGCAAGCAAATGCATTTGTGGGGGATGTGTCTGCATTAGGAAAAAAAATTCCTTTTTGTTCAAGGATAGGGTTGCCTGGTTAAATATTTGTAATGTGAAAAATAGTATTGATTTTGTTTTTAGTTAATTGTAAATTCTTTTATTTCTTTATTATAAAACAAACACCAAGTATTTTTCCTTTCTGCTTTCAAGTTATGAGCCAAAGAGCTGATGTCTGATTAACATTTAAGCCAATGTTAATTCATTATTTGACCTCTGTGGAAGATAGATAAGGTTCTTGAACAGTTTGGGAATTTAAGAGCCAATGTCTTATTCACACTAATAGAAACCTGCTTCCTCTGGAGTTCCTCAGATTTAATACTGCTTAATTCAAATCAGAATCAGTTTCTTGAAATAGAAAATACAGTCTTTGCTCGCTCCAGCGTTTAGCAGGCAGTGTTTCTTCATTTTGTTGTATTTTCAAGAGTAATATGACAAGATTAAAAAAAAAAAAAAAGGATCACATAGGTTGTTTACACATTCCTCATTCTAGTTTTACCAAGCAATCAAGGAATTAACAACAATGCCTTTTTAGTATGTTCAAAATACGATGTAACTGTATTGCTTGGGATCTATGCAAACTAGATGAATACCATATGAGTGATGATTTTCAAGCACCCAGTGTTGTTTTGTATCTGCTCCAGTTCAAGTAAATGTTACAATTCTTATTAAATAAAATATTTTAAAATGTCACCTTAAAACTTCCATGTATTTCTACTTTTATTTACATAATATATATCTCTTGGACTTGTATTTATACTAATAATGCTTTAGTATATCTCATGAACTTGCATTTGTATTAATGCATATACTAACACATAAAACATGTCTTTCCAGGCCTTCAGGTGGAGGCAAATATTGTCTTGGAGAAAGGAAGCGATATCGCTCCTGTAATACTGATGTAAGTAAATTTTGTTCCATCGTAAATGTATAATGAACTTGTCTGCTTTACATTTTAGCAGCAATATGTGCATTTTTTCCCACTTCAGAAGAGCTGTGAATCCTGCATTTTATTGGCAAACAGTCCTTTAGGGCCGTTTTATTTTGCAGGCACCCTATGCGTTTTGCTAAATGTTAGGATCCCTATCTCAATGCGATACTCAGCTGGAATGACTTCAACTTGAGCATCCATGTTAAAGGTGAACAAGGAGCATTCCACATCAGAGCAAAGGTCTGTCTAGCCCAGTGGCAAATAACAGGTGTTTAGGGAAAAATTAAAAACTTTTAGCAGCCAAGGCATGACTTTCCCATAGATATACGATATGAATTTCCAGAAGCTGCGTGTCTAAAGATTTCTTGAGCTGCAGGTCATATGTATACCACATGAAGTGCCACAAATGTAAGTATCCTCTATGAATACACATTTAAACCCTCTTAGCCTTTTTATACCTTTTTATATATGCAGTTTTATTTTAGAGCTGAGCCCATCAAATAATGAACTACCACTGAGGGGGTGGGGAAGAGTATAAATGTATAAAATCAAATTATGAACCTAAATTACAAATTCAAGTAAGTTAAAAATTGAACCAGAAAAAAGTACCCACCAGTAAAGAATTTCACTAGTAAGTTTCCAAGTCAGTAGCACTATGAACCTAAACAGACTTTCATATTATTTTAGCTTCAAAGCTTGCTAACAGTGGGACAGTCTGTACTCAAAGGTGTTGTTTCACCTGTTTGCCTTTGGATATATTTCAGGAAAAAAATACAACAGTTAATATGGTGGTTCTTTGAAAAAACTTATTTTTATAATCATTACTAACTATTGTAAGTATTAGTTCTGCAAACTTCTCTGTGGAGGTTATTCTCATTGTTACAAATTTCCAAATTAAAAATTACTCTCCTACTGCTAATCACAGCTGCTCTGTTCACACGGGCAAGATATCAGGCTAACTAACCTAGAGTATTCTATTTGTCATTTTCAAATAATGACCTTTTTTACATTAGCACTGATTCGGTTTGTACACACAGTCTAAGATTTGTTAAAAAATGGAGACTGGCACACTGGAGCCCTCCTCACCTAACTCTTTGAGGACTCTTGTGAGGTAATATCCAGGCATTCTTATTTAAATGTTTATCTCCATATTATTTAGTGTCTGCCACAGTAACTAGTATACAAGAAAGTTTACTTGATGCGTAATCCTGCTCCCTCCAAATATACAACAATTTTTTATTGCTTTTTTATTATTAACAATTGTACCATAGCTACCTAATGATACCGTTGAAACGTTGCTAGGATTTGTTTTATTCTTATCATATTTTATTTCTTATTGTCAGGCACTTTTCAGTTTTATTCTTAGTTGGTTTTGCTTCCCTTATTCTCTATTAATTTATTACTGAGAGGAAGCTTGTAGGGTCACAGAAGGAACATCTAGAAGGTATCTGAGGAGACCATTCAGACTATTCCCTAGCTCCAAGGCAAAATCAACTGTCATTAAACCATTCTTAACTGATGGTTAGGCGGCTGACCTATTTTGAAATTGCTCCAGTCTGGGTGGTATCATTAGGACTCTTCAGTATCCTTGCTGTCAGGACAATTTTCATAAAATACAGTGTATGTTTTCCCATCCTTTAAGACTCTTGCTTTCTTTCCCCAGTAAGAAGACAGCTGATAATATTCCCTTTATGGGAGCCTTTCCTGTGTTTGCAGACTACTATAGACTACTGCAATATTTATTTAGCCTCTGTTGATCTGTAATGCCCAAATCTTTTTCTTAGGAGCTGCTGTTTCGGAAGTCATCAGTCAGCTTGTGCTTGCACAGTTGATTGTTCCTATTCAACTGTAGTAATTTGCATCCATTGCTTTATTTCAAACCACTGCTCCAATTTGTCAAAATATTTTAAAAGTTATAGTCCTCTATTACAAAATGTTCATTCCCTACCTGTACTCAGATTTCAATCAATAATTTAAACAAGCTATTGGAAAGGAAAATTTACATTTCATTGTCCAGGTCTTAAAAACAAATCTTGAACAATTGTAAACTCAGACCACGCAATTTGGAAATGCCATTCTTACAGTTTGACTGTGAATCCTTTTTTTGGCATATTTTTTGGGAATGGTTTTCCAGTGCATAAACATATTGGTTCTTACAGAAGTTTAAACTTACTGCCTTAATGGTTTTGACGATTGTAGTCTACTTCTTTTATAGTAATATTTAAGGTTCTACATAACTAAGAATTGCTGAGACTAGTAGATTTTGTTTCAAGATTTATGATAGTACTTAGCCCTTGACATTTTTAATGGAATGGTATGTTTGATTAATGTAAGTGTTAACAGCATGCAAATCTGTCATTGTTTTTATGAAAAACATTTCTTTTTTTTATATCTTTTCTGTTGAAGTTTATTTGGCAGTGTCAACATTCATTGCCCATTTGTAATTGTAAACGTAATGCTCCCTAAAACTTCAACAATTCATAAACAAAAAAACCCCACATTTTGACTTAATTTTTCTTTCAGAGATGAGTTAGTTCTGTTGCCCTTTCGTTTGACCATTTTAATTCTTTGGAAACAGCGCGCACACTCCTACTAGGCTTATTTCTCATCAAACACTTCCAAAGCCATATATGACTTCTTAATTCAAAAGGCATCTGCTAATGGAAACATTGAGATCAGCAGAAAAGAACATTAGCTAATGAATTCTGGAAACAAAAGGGTGGTAGAAAGAACAGACTCATCCGAAACTTATTTTCTGTCACCAACCACACTGTCTCTGAAAAACACATACGTATTTTTCCAACCAAACTATTTTTAATTAAAAAAAAATAAATATGCAAAATCTAATAGAATTGCAAGGCACATAATTACTCAGAGTAACTGACTGTCTGATTTAAAAGATTCTTGTTCTTTAATCTTTTCTCTTAATAGAATGTAGTCAAATGGTTTTTGTTGGTTCCTTCCATTATGCATACGTTCATAAATATTGTTTGTTGCTTTTATAATTTTAATATCTACAAGACTATTTTTTCTAAAATGCATTCTCGTGCAGAGCTTTCTCTTGGAACAGTACCTGAGTTTCAACTGTCACCCTTCTGGCTCTGTTTCTTGTCTTCTGTGAGGTGTCATATAGCCCTTTATTAACACGAAACACAGTTCTATTTCAGTTCAATATCAGAAATCTGTCTGAATTTAAGCTTCAACATAGACAGATTTCTTTGAGATAAGATGTTTGGTGTCATGTCAGTGTTCGTTCAATGATTTGCTAACACTCTAGATGATTTTTTTTTTTGCTTCAATCTTAAAATTTCTTAAGTTCTTATTAAAGTCAATGCTTTTTTTTAACTTAAATTTTTAATTATTTCCTCATCTTCTGACCTGATTTTAGGTTGTTACGCATTTGTTAGATTCCTGCCTCATGACTTGCAATCTCCCCAAAGTGAAACATGTTTGAAAACACAAGCAGCCTGTTGCTTGAAAATGGTTATCCGTGTGCTGTAACTGCATGAAAAAAGTGAAATATCTTACCCAATAAATAGAAGCAGTTATTGCACATTTACTTTGGCAAAAAGAGAACCTTACACAAGGAGACAGTGCCAAAGAGCTGACATTTTGTAAATGCATATCGTAGCTTACCTTGCAGTAACATTTTTACATTTCTATACCTGTGATTTTCATAGAAGAATACCAGGTTGGAAGGGACCTCAAGTATCATCTGGTCCAACCTTTCCTGGCAAAAGCACGGTCTAGGCAAGATGGCCAAGCAACCTGTCCATTTGAATCTTAAAAGTCTCCAATGTTGGGAAATCCACCACTTCCCTGGGGATATTATTCCAATGTCTGATTATTCTCATTGTGGAAAAATTTCCTCGTGTCCAATTGGAATCTCCCCAGAAGTAACTTGTCCCCATTACTCCTTGTCTTTTCCATGTGACTCCTTGTAAAAAGGGAGTCTCCATCTTATTTGTAGCCACCCTTTAAATACTGGAATATGGTTATAAGGTCTCCCCTAAGCCTTCTTTTCTGAAGGCTGGACAAAGCCATTTCTCTCAGCCTTTCATATGTCTTCATAGTCTTTCTATATCTTTGTGGCCCTTGTGTGGACCCTCTCCAGCTATATCTATTTCGTACATGGTCCAAAACTGAACACAGTATCCAGGTGTGGCCTGACAAGTGCTGAGTAGAGTGGGGTAATGACTTCCTCATCTCTGCCAGAGAAGCCTGTGTTGACATAACCCAGCATCCTGTTGGCTTTCTTTGCTGCAGCAGTACACTGTTCACTCATATTGAGCTTGTTGTCCACCAGGACCCCCACGTCCCTTTCCACAGAGCTGCTCCCCAGCCAGGTAAATCCCAAACTGTACTGTGCTCCTGGATTATATTTTCCCAGGTGCAAGTCCTTACATTTGCCTTTGTTGAACTTCATAAGGTTCTTGTTTGCCTACTCTTCCAGCCTATCCATGTCTTTTTGCAGAGTGGCTCTCCCTTCTGAAATGTCTACTTCCCCACTCAGTTTGGTATCATTAGCAAATTTCATCAGGGTACACTTGATCCCATCGTCTACATCACTTGTGAAGATATTAAACAGTGTTGGGCCCAATATTGATCCTTGAGGAACCTCACTTGCTACAGGTTGCCAGAAAAGGAGCTATTTACCACAACCCTCTGCGTGCAGCCTGTCACCCAGTTCCCCACAGACCACTTTTCTAGACTGTAGCACATCAGTTTCTCGAGGAAGAGGTATTGGGTAACTATATCAAAAGCCTTGGAGAAATCCAGGTAGACAATGTCCACCGCTCACCCCACATCAACAAAGCAGGTTATTTTGTTGTAGAAGTCAATCAGGTTTGTCAAGGAAGATTTTGAATGCATTTTTTGAGGTCATAGCCTTTAGTTTTACTTTCTGTCAGATATTGGTGAGATACAAAAAAAGATAGGAAAATTATGCAATAGCAAAAACAAATTTACAAGTTGCATTTTATGCTTTAGATAACAGAATGTAGCAGATTTCAGGTTATCATTTGGTGACTGCACTCTATGTAAGGACTACCTGAAAACTTTACTGAACCCACCTGAAAGCTGGATTCAAACTAATGATTTGGACAAAGAGCAGGATCCTGAGATGAGGCCTAGCATTTGTCAGTATTCACTGAGAGGACTTAGCCACTAAAATGGAAACTTATTTTATTGCAAAGGTCACCATATCTGACTGTGGATTAGTGGATTTGCATTTTTAAAGCCAAAGACACAGGGTTACGTAAAAGCTTTGATATCATTGGTGTCTTAGTTTATGAAATTCATTTAACAGTACTTGCAGTATAGGAAAGCATGATTTAATCTGCAGGATTACCAAAACCAGATAAAATATCAAGAAAGCAGGAACCTTTCAGAGGGGCTTTGCTCCCACAGTTCCTTTAGCTGCTCCCAGGTATTCCGAGCCTTGTCTGCGATTCTTGTCAGCAGTGAGACTGCAGGCTCTTCATACTTGTGTGTAGCTGGTTTTCTGTCAGACTGCCAGAGCGGTGTTCAAGAAGAAAAGAGGATATAAACAGTGGTTTTAGAAGTTTAAATTGCGGCAAAAACTGAATCAATATTTAATAGGCTAAAAGAAATATATTGCTTTGCTTACAAGGGTAGCCCTGTATGTCATCTTGTACAGCCCCTCTTACTCAAACCTCCAACAGGTTGCCCAGGACCGCATCTAGAGACCTTCTGAATATTTCCGAGGAGGGAGATTCCACCACCTCTCTGGGCACCCTGTACAAGTGCTCGGTTACCCTCACAGTAAAAAAAATGTTACACGATGTTCAGGAGAAACCGGTGTTTCTATTTTGCCCATTGTTTCCAGTCCCGTTACTACACACCACTGGAAAGAGCCTGGCTCCATGCTCTTTACACCCTCCCTTCATATATTTGTCCATATTGATGAGATCCCCGCCCTCCCCAAGCCTTCTTTTCTCCAGGCTGAACAGTCCCAGCTCTCTCAGCCTTTTCTATTATGAGAGGTGCTCCAGGCCCTTCGTAGCCCTTTGTTGGACTCTTTCCAATATGGCCATGTCTGTCTTGTACTGACTGAGGAGCCCAAAAGTAAATACAGTACTGTAGATGTGACCTCACCCGTGCTGAGTAGAGGGGAAGGTTCACCTGCCTGGACTTGCTGTTGACACTCCTATTGTACCCAGGGTAACTTTAGCCTTCTTTGCCACAAGAGCACATTGCTGGCTGATATTCAACTTGGTGTCCACCAGGGCTTTTCTACAAAGGTCCTTTCCAGCTGGTTCACCCCCACCATGTATTGGGCCATGGGGCTGTTCCTCCCTGGGTGCAGGACTTTGCTCTTCTCTATGTTGAACTTCATGAGGTTCCTGTGGGCCCATTTTTCCAGCCTGTCAAGGTCCCTCTGGACAGCAATACAACCCTCTGGCTTTTCAACCACTCCTCCTTATTTTGTGTTAACAGCAAACTTGTTGAGGGTTTACTCTTCCCCATTATCCAGATTGGTTATGAAGTGATATCGTTGCCTCAAAGTACATGCAAGATAACCATCAAACAAAAGAAGTATGACTACATCTCAAACATTGGATTGTGAGAATTTTTTTTTAAGAGTATAAACATGAAGTCTTGATCCTGCTTACTAATGTTCATATTTTATTGTTTTGTCCTAGTATAACTATTTAGAAAAAGGATTTCAGGATTTCATTAGGGGGGATGATATAATTAACTTGTAAAGGGAACTTGGTGCAGTTAAAATACCAGCCAGGTAAATTAGTACTTAAGCAAGTGGGACTGAAGAATTGGGTGTAGTGACCAGTATCAGAGATACTTGGATTCAAGCTTTGAGGTTGGTGAAGACTGATCCTTCTACTGCTTGGAGAATATGATGCAAAGAGGCAAATCGTATTACTATTAAAAAAACTTATTATTTTATTTACACAGTTATTTTTTACTGTCACTTTTATCATCTGAAGGATTATTGAATTAAAGTAGTTAAACTGCTCTGTTTTTCCACTGCTAAATGTATTATATTCAAAAATGTATTTTTAATTAGAAGGAGATAATAGAGAAAATTTAAAATTGAAATACTGTCTAATGTCCACTATTTTAGTTTATATCACAACAGCTTCACAACTGGACAAAAATTTTCAAGTTTCTGAATCATATTGGAATGGGCTGGCTGTTAAAATAGCTTATTCTGAGAATCATAATTATTCTGTTAATATTTGCATTGTGCAGTAAATTTTTATCATCCATGTTTATAGACACCCTTTCACTTGAATGCATTTCAGATTCCTGAACAGTGCCGACTGGCTTAGATGCATAGGAAGACAAGTAAAACTGCCATAAAATGGACTCTTCAGTTGCTTGTAAAATAGTAATATTTGTTAACACCTCTGATTTCTGTCAAACAAATTTTTTCTTCCAGTCTAAAAATGATTTTAATCTGTGTTTCAAATACTTTGTCTGATGAAGCTTGCAATTTCAGCAAGTACTTAACCATTGATAACAATGTTTAATGTGCTGTCTAAATTTTGGGTGTATTCAAGATTAGTTGTCATTAGTATTTTCAACCTGCTGATGAAAAATGTGAGAAATAGCAAAGAATTCTGTTTCTCCTATAATTCTTTCTGAGGTTGATTTCACTTACGTCTACCCTTATTCCAAGTAGAAAAGATACTTTACAGTTTTGTAATTGGTAATGCAAAGTAATGAAAATTTAAATGAAAGCAGTTTTTATTCCTTCACGTTTGGAGACCAGTAAAAATCGGAGCCAAACATTATATCTGTTCTCATTCTCAGCCTTAGCACAATGTTTTTGTCAAGGCTACAAGTAAGCAGAGGTGATATAGCTCTCTAGAAAGTGTTTTAATTTTTTTCTTGACGTCTTAATAACATGTCTCAGTACAGCTGCTTAATACAGTATAGCTGAGCCTACAGTTCTTACCAAAATTATTTTAGTTTAATTTTTTCAGCTGTTTTCAGGGTGTGTTAATAAGGAGGTAGCTGATGGATTGATTGTGAAGCATAATTTGACGTGATTCTGATTTATGTAAACTGTTATGTAACACTTACCTTTGTTTAAATTACTTCAGTTACTTCATGCCAGCCTAAGACTGCAAAATAGACATTCCCAGTGTAAAGGAATAAAGCAAGTTTCAGAATCAGAGCCACAAGATAAACCACCTCCTGAGTCTCTTCAGTGATTATGTTTGCAATATAAGCCTATAAGCATTTCCTTTTATGTTGATATTTGGAAGATAATAACCTTTTTTTTTTTTCCCTTTATTATTATTATAGCCATGTCCTTCAGGGGCCCGTGATTTTCGAGAAAAGCAATGTGCAGATTTTGACAATATGCCTTTCCGGGGAAAGTATTATAACTGGAAACCCTACACTGGAGGTAATTGTTTTGCAAAAATGCTATCATACGTGAAGTCTTCAAAATTATATAAATGTTATCTAGAGATTAATGTTTGTAAATAGAATGCTTTGATTAAAATATAATGAGTTGAGTTTGCTAAGCTTGTACTTTTGTCAATTGCTGAAAATGTTGCAGAAGAGCCATCTCTGTTCTGATAGAGATTTGTTTTACTGTGGAGGGGCGTGAGCATCCCTGTAGGGGCTCCACTTTAAAAATACAGAGCCCTTCTCCACCAGCCGTTGCAATAGAATTAGAGATTCCATAGGTGATCTGTACATGCCTTTCATGCTACAGGGCTGAGTTCCGTATAAAAAAATCTCAGAATCATTTTTCATTTCTTAAGGTCAGAATAATAGGAAAAGGAGAAAGAAGTAAAAGCATTTATAGGAGTCTCTAAATACTACTTCAATAATTGAATTATAAATGAGACCACTGTGCAATAAAAGGGTATTTTGCTGTGCAGAATAAGGTTGTAATTTGTTTTTCTCTTTGAGACAGTTAATTCAAGTTTAGTTATGTTTCTGTGTTTGTTCAACATTCATAGGTTGCCCTTTTATTATTTTCTTTTTTCCTGTTCTGAACCTTGAGTGAATAAGTCAACGTTCCCCCTTGTGTTTTTGTATTTTATTGACTTGTATGGTTTTACTCTTAGATTAAAAGATTTTACTCTTTATAGATTAAAAGCCTAAAAAGGATCATTGTGAAGACGTGGTCTGAGCTGTAGTGTAATTCCATAGGACTAAATTTGTCGAGGCTGGATGGGGCTTTGAGCAACCTGGTCTAGTGGGAAGTGTCCCTGCCCATGGCAGCGGGGTTGGAACTCGATGATCTTTAAGGTCCCTTCCAACCTAAACCATTCTATGATTCTATATATTCATAACTCAAATAGTCTGATCTTGGTTTTGAAATTTATCCTGATATACTTGTAACACTACATTCTTTTGTTATTCTTGTCTTTCAAATGGTGAACTGGTATCCTTATTGTTTCAAATTGTTCAATAATCATTAGGGTTGTATTAACGTAATGGAATTGTTATGGAGGCAGCCAACCTTGCAATATCTTACTATGCAAAATATTCTCTTTTGAAAGAAGGAACAGTCAAATAGAGAAATCAATAAAGGGTAGTTAAATAAAGTGTATGCATTGTATATGTCAGATATGAGATAAGATTATAAATTTCAGATCTGTTTATGGATATATAGTTTTAACTAATTGTTAACTTTTCACGATTTCTGGGGGTTTTGTTTGTTTGTTTGTTTGTTTTTTAATTTGTTTTTGTTTTCCAGGTGGGGTTAAACCATGTGCATTAAACTGCTTGGCTGAAGGTTATAATTTTTACACTGAACGTGCTCCTGCAGTAATAGATGGGACTCAGTGCAATGCTGACTCACTAGATATCTGTATCAATGGAGAATGCAAGGTTACAAATGTTTTATAAAGTACTTACGGATTACTTTGTTGTTTCTGCTATCTCCTACATTTAATTATGGTACTTAACTGTTACTTACATGAAACGAGAGTGTTGACAGGTCAAATTGTTAACAAATGAGTAGGATTGAGACAAAAAGATAAAAAAGGTATTGCATTAATAAGAAAAATAATTTGAAATACAGTAGCTTCTCACAGCCATTCATAGAATCCTTCATTTTGTCTTCCAATTAGTACACCACTCTGGCTGAAAAACAGTAAATGTGAACGTATTAATCCCTTTCCCTCTAACTAGTTCATCCTGTTCCAAACAATTCCACTGCTTCTTCAGTTTGGCAAAGCATTTTATTGTGTATTAGACACCTGAGCAGTGCTGGTGACTCTAAAAATGATTTGATTTCATTGAAACCACTAACGTAACTGAAGCTTAACCCAAGCTTAAGTTCTTTGCTAAATTGAGGGCTGAATATATATGTTTATTGATTACCATGATGAGATCAAAAACATTTGCCATGCATTAGTAAACTAACCAAAAAGAAAGCACAAGAAATATAACCTGTGGAATTCTGGTGTCCTTTATACAATAAGAAGATTTTAGTAGTTGTGAGAAATCTTCTGAAACTAATTATCTGACTAAGTCTTAAGTTGACAATGAACTATGTAATAAAGTTGTACCTCTTAGTGCCTCTGTCTTCTAGGTGAATCAGAAAGTTGAAATGTAAATTGTTAGAGTAATACGCTTTTGTCAGTTATTTAAAGTACTGTAACTTCTCTTATGACCTAGTATTACCTGTTTACAAGACGGTAGATAATATTGCTAGACAGGAAACAAAGTTATGTAGCTGCCTGCTTTTTTTATATAAATCCTGGAAAAAATAGGAAAGCTGCAATGTTCATTCTGTTTACATCCTACTTGTTCATTCTCTCTCCCCCCCTTTTTTTAAAAGAATCCAACTGCCTCTTTTTTTATTAGCTTTGTAGTAAGGTTGAGTCAGTAAACTATAGGAAGTTAATCATTGTTCACTGTACATAGATTTCTCACGTATATAATCAGAAATGTAATGTACATTATATGATCAGTTATAGACCCTTCTTTTTTTCAAAGGCTGTTGAGTCCTATTTAATACAGTGCATAATTCAACCTTTCACTAAGTTTCATTCTGCATTCATTCTTACAGTGAAGTCATTTACACTTTACATTCAAAATTATGAAAATAATTGCAAGTTTTGCCTCGAGCATGTGGAAATGTGGTCTATGAAGCTGTAAATGCCTTTGGGAACAATAATAGTATTTATGCTGCATATATGTTTAAGGAACACACAGCAAATGTTTACTGTAGCAAAGCAATGTAGATGGAACACGGAGCAGATAAAAAGAAGATCAAAACCAGAGTAGATAAAAAGAAGAAATGAGTATCTCAAACTTCAGAGAAAACACTTAAAAAAACCCTATGAAGGTAGTGGTGCAAGACCATCATCCTGTTAAAATACTTGTTCTTATCTGCTCTCAGCATGTAGGTTGTGATAATATTTTGGGATCTGATGCTAAGGAAGATAGATGCCGTGTTTGTGGAGGAGATGGGAGTACATGTGAAGCCGTTGAAGGTTTCTTCAATGATTCATTGCCCAGAGGAGGTATGCACATATATGTCCATTCTATTGCACAATGTATTCAGATGACTGTTTAGCAAATACAAATGCTGCATTGATTTTCAGCATGGCATTGCTGCTGGTCCTTCACGTTGTTTCCTTTTGTCTCATTGTTTCCTTTTTCTGTATTAGTTTGGATTTATGTCAAATACATCAATATGTTTCATTACTGAATACTTAGTTCTCGTCTTTAATGCACTTAAAAAGAAGTAGGTGAGTTTTTTTAATTATTTAGTTATGGTGGTATAGTAAGAGTAACGTTGTGTATGTTTTTATTTTGTGTGGTAGAATCTGATGTTTAGTCATACATTAAATTTTAGAATAGAAAGAATCCAGAAATGTCTCTTAAATTGATCTTATTAAAAACTCAGGAAATGCATATGGGCAATTAGTTTAAAGCTTAGCTCAAAAAAGACATTAGTGTTGCAATCTTAGTGTTGTTGTCAGTTTTAGGCTCCTGAACACAGGAAAAGGATTGATGCACTGGAGTGAGTTCAGTTTTGTGAGGCACCGCTAAGATTATTGGGACTCGGAGTGCTTCCCCCCTGTGTGAGAAGAAGCTGAGAGAACTGGGCTTATTTAGCCTGGAGAAGAGGAGGGTTGTGGGGACGTAGTATCAGCCTTCCACTGTCTACGGGAAGGTTATGGAGAAGACAGATCCAGGCTTTTCACAGTGGTGGGTATGTCATGGGAGAAGAGACAATAGCTATAAATTGAAACAAGACAGGTGCTGACCAAATGGAAGGAAAAACTTTTTCCCCAGGAGGACACTTCAGCAATGGATCAGGCTGCCCAGAAAGGTTGTGCAGTTTCCATCTTTGGAGTTTTTTGTGACCCAGCAGGATAAAGTGCTGAGTAACTTGGTCTGATCTCCTAGCTGACGCTGCTTGTAGCAGGAAGTTGGACTAAATGACTGTCTGAGGTCCTCTCCAGCATGAATTATCCTATGATCGTACGGTCATTTTGTACCTTAATTACTTGTGATACACTGTTGAAGAGACTTTATTAGCACTTAAAAAAGGAATTCCTGACTACATGGTAAGTTCTTGCTATCACTTTCAAATTTTTGTATGAAATATAAAGAGTTTTCCCTTATATCACATGAAAGAAAATGTATCTCATACCAATTTTTAGTCGTAAATAATTTATTAATAGTTAGTTTCATGAGTAATATTAACGTGAACAACAACAAATAAAATCTACCTTTGTCTTATAGGCTATATGGAAGTGATTCAAATTCCAAGAGGTTCTGTGCACATTGAAATAAGAGAAGTGGCAATGTCAAAGAACTACATTGGTAAGAGCATGGTTTAAATAGCAGACTGTTATTAAGTCAGAGTTTATGTTGTGATTTGAAGGTGTATTTTCTGGTTTAGAAACCAGATTAGAGACCTGATTAGAGACCTGATTAGTTGTACAGCAAACTAAAAGATTAGCACAACCAGAAGTTATTACTTGTTAAGGATGAATAGCAGCTGACGAGGCTACTTTTGTCAGTTTGTACTCCATGTACTTTGATACATATAACACTAATGTGTTGGAAAGGATTATGATGCCTGTAAGTGTGAGTTTGAAGGCCAATTATCCCCCTAGGTACATTAATTCCTAAACTGATTATATTGATGATAATGGTACCTTTTACTGTTGGGTGACTGCTTTTCTTTCTGTCTGCCCCCACCCTTCTGAAATTCAGCAGATAATCAGTCTCCTTGGATTCTGCAGGAATAATAATGTCCCTGCTCCAGTGACATTATTATTCTTTCAGTGTCACACTTCCCGTGGCCCCTCCCCCATGTCAAAATACACTGTGGGTAAGGTTGCTCATATATCCTATACTGACATTTCAAACAGAGGTGGTGGAAGAGAGGCATACAATGCATCCTATCATGGTCATTTTCTGCTAAGAACCATTCCATGGGCAGCTGAAAACCAGAACAAAGAAGATAACTCAGCTACTACAACCGTGTTTGTTATTCCTCTATTTTATAGGCAGAGGAAAGTGATCTGGAAGAGAATTTAGATTGGCACCGTCTGTATAAAATGAACGAAAAATGTAAATTTTTTGGCTTAAATAAAAAATACAGATGTCATGGGTATTTAATCTGGCCACAGACCTAAAAATGCGAAGTGGTACATAAACACATTTTTTATGTGCTTGTCACAATTTCATGGGGTTTCCTGAGTTTCAGGCTCTCTCCACACAACCTTGCTTCATGCTGCAGAAGCCCTGACTACATGAATGGGGGATTCCTCTTCTTCACTAGCTTCTTGCGTTTTCGACTTTCAAAGGTGCCATTATATCCTAAGGAAAGAAAATCTTACTAAGTTACAGGGGCCATTTCATTTTGCGATGGGATCTTTTGTTTTGTGAGCGTGAACTAGATCACTATTTTAGGATCACCAATTTCTGGGGAAAGGAAGGGTTCTAATTTGTCTGCTCCCTTAAAAGAACTATACAATCACAATGGTAGTTAAAAATGAGTTTATTACATTAAAATACATACCTCAAAGGTATTGCTTTATGGATATATCTTTAGTGGCAGTGTCAACTTCACAGCTCTTACTCTGTCTTTATGGAGTTCCCACTGTTGTTCCAGGACAACTGTTTGTGTGGCAACACCGTGAACCATATTAGAGAATCAATTCAGCTGAAAATAACCATTTACACATATTATTGTATTTTGTTTTATGTGCACTGCTGCCAAATATGTGACCACAGTCTAAGAAATCAATTTCTCCATTTGGAAGTATACAAAAAAAGCTAAAAATAACCCCCTCTCTATCACACTGGCTTCAAAGTTTCTTCGTTGTTCATTTCCATTTGCAGGCTTTCAAACTAACTTGCAAGAAACATCCCATGGTTTCAATGTGCTGACTTCTGCACCAGTGTGGCTCCTAGAGTTGTGGCAGCAAAAGCATGTTTCTGCAGCTACATAAATAATTCAGTATTTTAAACTGATCTGTCCAGCAAATAACCCAGCAATAACAAAATTGCCTGTTTTCAGAGCTGCTGAAAAATGTGTGGTTAGTAATGCTGGTATCTTCCTTTAAATGGTTTGATCCAGGGTGACATCTTCCCTTATATTCCCCTTATGCAACAGGGTGTTGCGTGCTAATTTTCTGTGGGCTTCTTCATTCTCAGGTTCTCATAAATGATTTGATTAGGACATTAACTTGTTCCTTCTGTCTCATATGCTAACAGCATTATGCCACTGTGTCATCATTGTCATGTAATTGTACTATGTGGAATGCTTTTCACAACGGTGTGGCCTTCACCTATGCATAACAACTGACATTAGGTAAATCTTTTTACAAAATGCAAATGCATTTTTCTTTGGCAGTCAGGTAAAAAAATGAGATGCTTTGCTTCTGGATATATGTTATTTTAAGAGTATATAGCGTACATACGATTGATAGCATGTAATTTCAGAATTATTAGTTATATAAACATGTATGAGAACATTTGTTTTCTTGCGCTCTTTTAAATGTCTCCTTTGTTGTTCATAAGTCTCAAACAATAAAGAATTCGCTTCATTATTTGCTCTTAGTAGATACTAGACATACTGACAAGAAAATGTTTGGGACTGAGTGGCACAGTAAGAGAGACTTCAGTATGTCTTGGTAACTTTGGGAGACCCTGTGACCTTCTTTTAAGTAAGCTAGATTTTGTAAAAGCAGGATGGATAGAAATATTTGCTATGTGGAAATAGGACCACTGATGAACTAAATACTGATGTTCAGCTGTAACATAGTTATTTCATATACCCATGTAAAATAGATAAATAATGAAGTACTGTTCCTTTCTGTTAGTGCAGTACTGCTTGCAATTTGTCTTGTTCTCCTATGCTCACTTTTTTTAACATCTCCTTCTTGTACTACAAAACCTATATAGACAATAAGGAATCTGAATTACTTTGAGAATTCCAGATAAGTGCATGTGTCAGAGCAAGTTTTTTCACTCAGCACATGAGTGTTTCCCAAGTAAATCCAGGGAAGTTGATAAAATTTATGCTATGGAAAGACGTTCCTTTTCAGACCTTACGGTGCTGATGGCAATGCTTACTAATCCCTGATGAATATGGCTGTCACTAACACAACATTACTGCCTCTCCGGCTATCTCCTGCTCATATGAATGCTCTCTAATCTGTTTTAGAAAATTTGAGCATCATTGAGACGTTTTCCCTAACTGTGTAAGGTAAACCATCTGTCCACACAGATGTAGTTGAGAATACAACTTGATTGTAAGTTGTCTTACTCCTTATGATTATGATGTGAGTTTGATCCCTCTCTAGTAAAGTCAGTTATTTGTCTCAACAAAAATGGCATGGCTGTTTGGTCATGTATTTCCAACCATCATTTTGCATTTAAGAGCATATTTTATTTAAAGTAAATATGAATGCTGAATAATTTGGTAATCTTTGCATTAAGTCAAGAAGTCAGTATCTAATAAACAGAATATTCACTTTATAAGTCAAGTAGTGTCTAATTAACATAACATTCACCTTAAGTACAAAGTCTGTTTCATATTGAGAAACTTAATCTAATATTATTGATAAAATATAAAATATAAATCCCTGAACAATATGTCCTTGTCCAACCGAATTGGTTGGTTAGCTAAGAAATTCATGTTTTTCAAAGTATGTTTATGATTTAAGGCCATAAATTAGGAATAATAAAATACTTATCAGATTAAGTAGCTAGTATTTGGGTTTGTAGTAGAAATATCTGGGATTTACGCTTTAAGAAGGAAAAAAGAAACAGTGGACGAAAGCAACAAAGTAAGAGCTGATTGGCACCATACTTCAGACTCAAGGTTCCTTCTCTTTTCTTCCTCTGCACATTGTCTGAGATACCTATCCCATGCCTCAACTTCTTAACCTAAAGATTAGGTTAAAAATTGATTATTCATTTGATCTACATATATCTTATGTAGAACAGCATACATTGCACATGGGCTTGGTTTTGAAGTTGAAGATATATTGCAAGTTGCATGGGGCATTCTGTTTTGTTCCATATAGCATCTGCATATTGAAATCTGCAGAGTGTACTTGCACATTGAAGATTATTGCAGAGGCAATATTGTCAAACTGCATTTGCAAACTGTGCTATTTTGACCAGGGCTAAAGAAAAGGCTTTATAGTGCTTGAAAAATTAGTGATAATGAGCTGAAGCTCACATACTTCGAACAGATTAGTAGATTAATTTGCAATGGCTTCTCCATTATAAATGCTGCTTTCAAATTTTAGGTGGCTTGTATTTTTTTTTAAGCTTTAAAATCTGAAGAGGATGACTACTATATTAATGGTGCCTGGACTATTGACTGGCCAAGAAAGTTTGATGTTGCTGGAACAGCTTTCCATTACAAGAGGCCAACAGATGAACCAGAGTCTTTGGAAGCACTAGGCCCTACTTCAGAAAATCTCATAGTCATGGTAAAGTTATAATTAATATATTTCTGAAATTTGAAATATATATTTATGTTCTTAGGAAAGACAAGGCCATGAATGAAATCAAAATAGGTTGTGTTTCCCAGCTTGCCGAGCTGGGTCTTTGCTTTTGAGTTTTATTACAGCTTTCTTACCTTTCAAAACTGGCTGGCAAACATTGTGATGAAACAGGGATAAAGTTGTAAAAGCTCCAGGAATTCTCACAGAAAATGCCCCATCTCTGTTAAATGTGGTGCAGAATAATGGTAGCCAAAATTGTAAATGGGGTGTATGTTGTATACGGTATACAATATTGTATACAATATACAAAATACTTATTGCATACTGCTAATACATGGAAGTGTTGATATAGCATGACAGTTCCTGACAGTTCCATAGATATCAGTGGTTATAAGCCTGGCCTGAGTGTGAAGCAGACTCTTACCATAGCGAGAGTATCATGATTTGACCCATATAATTTGACAGTATGTTGCTGTGACATACATTGCTCTGAACAGACTGTACAAAATACGAGAATGTAACAGAAGATGTTACCAGGATCCTGATACCCTGTCTCTGACAGCAGGCAATAGTGAGCCTACTGTTGCACCACTATGTTGAGGAGGAGTGTAAGAACAAGGTGGTACTTGCCTAGTATGTTCTCTCAGCTGCCAGATTCGCAGTTCAAGGATTGCCTGAGCCAGAAAGGATAGTTTTGTGTATAGAATGATTGGTGACTGGATATTGACATTTTAGGCAGCATTTGCAAACACCTGAATCCTGGGTTTTCTGCTGTAGGTGTGGGTAAGCAAAAAACTCCATATTGAATGAGTTACACAATGATTATAGTGCCTTTTCTCATTCAGTCAGTGCCACTGACTTTCTTACTGAAAGTTCTCTGCTCTTTTGTCCAATGGAGATAGGCAGATATGTCTCTGAAAAATATCACAGAAGGTAGAAGGGGATGAGAAGTAGCTCCGTGTCAGATTGGTGCATCCAACATGATATACATTACTAGCAACAGAAAGGAAAAGTTTGATAGAGAGTAAAAGCCTACTGTTGAACAGGTGGGTGGAAGTGCAGTTCAACAGTGAAGACAGAAAAAAACTCATGGTGATTGTTGCACTTCCATCTGTATCACCTGCAGTGACAGGGCTGCAGTGAGAGTTTTGATACTCCTTTAAAGGAATCATAGGTGTGATTCCACCAAGCTAATGCTGTTGGCAATTGCATTAGGGGAAAACAATGATCTCAGCAGCAGTCTGTTGCTGTTACTATTATTACTATTATTATAGTCACTAGAAGTGCAAACAAGGGCAGAGCTAGCTTCATAACTGCTATGTGGGTAGCTCCTCACAAGATCTCAGTGAGGACTGCTGCATGTTTGCACATTAATGTCCTTAACCAACTTTGACTTCACATAATTACTCAGCTGTCAAGTTAACTTCCATTAAGACATTAATTGTGTGAAGACTGGCTGCTTAGAACTATTATGTCAAGAATAAACAACAACAGAAGTTATAAAGTTGTGTTAAGATAGAATAAAAAACATTCACCTTAGACAATAGTACCTTTCTTTTGTATATGTTTTAAAAGTTAGAGCAGATTCTTTAGGGAATATTTAAAAGAACTGCTCCGGCTTCCTTTATTACTTTTTTTCTTTCCACAGGACATAACACATACATAGATTAAATGTCATTGTAGTTGCCCTCTGCTTGCCTGTTTTAATGGTATAACCAGTTGTTTTCAACTACAGATTCTGCTACAGGAACAAAATTTGGGTATAAGGTATAAATTCAGTGTTCCCATCTCTCGCACTGGCAGTGGAGATAATGAAGTTGGCTTTGCATGGAATCATCTGCCTTGGTCAGAATGTTCTGCTACTTGTGCTGGAGGTAAGACACCAGGCAGTCAAGCTACAGGGTAAACTGAATTGCAAGATACACTTACTATATAATTATCAGGATAACTAATTGAAAACTTTTATTTCAGACATGCCTCAAACCTTAATTTAGTGAAAGAAAATTTATTTTATCACAAGGTATTTTCTGTATTTGATTTCAAGTACATTTAATATGTTCAGATGTTTTTGTTAACTACAGTGTATCTTGGCACAGTGTGTCTTTCTGCTGATGCTTCTTCTGAGATTCTCTTGAAGCTGGTGTGTTTGCTTTTCACAGGACCTTTCTTGATAAAGGACATCAGAAATTTTAAATAAGGAGATTAAAAACCAGAAGGCAAATAAAGGGATGTGTCTTTTTGTGTTTGTAGGTATGCTTCACATAATCCCAGTCAGCCCTCCTATCTTCCAGCTGCCAAAGTTTAGGATGCATACTGGCAGCTTCTCTGTAGCAGATGAGAACAACTGGATTGTACTTCCCAGCCCATAGCAGTATCTGAAAATTGTTGCCCTTTGGCAGCGGTGGGGGATTTGTAAGTTGTCCCATGTGATTCATCGAGGGTGCCTTTTGCCCACGATTTACCAGGGATATTTCTAATCCTCCCTCTAGTGGCCCCAATGCAATTCTTTACCTCTGTCTGTGAGAGCAGGACCGTTGGCCTTCTTCAAAGCCAACACCATTGCTGCTGCAAGGACTGATGAGCAGAAGTGCTGTGTGAACAGTATCTTTCTTCTCTCTGGAGACTGAATACATCATCTGCCCAACATGCGTCAGTTTCAGAAGATATGGGAGCGTGCTTTAAATCCACCTCAGAATTTCAGTTTTTTACTGCACTGTGCACTGCCCATAGGAGGAGAAAGACACCATATTTTTTTTTAAAGAACGCTTGGACCAAATATTTGTCCTTTTCTTTTTTTCCTGGATACTGGAGGTATTCATGTTTAGAACCATCTTGACTCATCTTTCTGCTGGAACCTGCTGCGGCTGTTACTAGTTGTTTGCTGTTTGAATACAGCTGTTTGCTTGGCTATATGTAATACACAAAGGACAGCATGAATTCTTTTCTCTGATGCTAAATAGACAAAGTCTTGAAATGAGACAGAGGAAGGTGCTGACTTTCTCCGGTATTTTTATTATTCATTTGTTGGATTCCTGGGTGACAGATTGTGGTTTTAACTAATATTTTACTAATGGTAGGAAAAGGAGCATTTAAAAGAAGAAGTATAAAGAGGGGAAGAGCCTAGCTCATAGCAAAAGACAGTTGCAAGTATCAGAACCTTACAAGTACTCCCAAATCCTATTTTTATGATGGCAATGAGTAAACGATGTTTTTGAAGTCATGGGAGAAATTTCATTGATTTCAGTAAAGACAAGACTTTAGCCATGGATCTTCTGTCGTGCAGGTCATTGTCATTTCACAGATTCAACAATATACAATGGAAAAAATAGTTGGCTCTGAAGGAGTAGACACTTGTCCAGATTAAAACATTTTTACTTACTTAATTAATTTTTAGGGAAGATTTGTGAATCCCTGAAAACTGCATACATCTATTCATTTGAAGATTTTTTGAGGGGAGGAAAGATTTTCTTTGGTAGTTTATGATGGGTAAACCAGGCACTTTTCTCTCCTTTCTTTCAGCTTAGTATGAGGATATACTATGGTCACTTATTTTCACTAAGGCCTGTGCTCGGGGAATAAATATTTCATTGTAGCTATAATTCATGTTAAAAACTGTATCTGCTTTCTCCGTGAGTACCTGCTGTTCCCACCAGTTTATGAAACACCTTTCACCATATGCCAAAAGAAGACACAATTCTAAAAAGGAGGTGAGTCAGTGAAAAAGAAAAGGAAGATGAAGGTTATAGAGACAGAGACCATAACTGGAAAAATTAGCTAATATCACAGAATCATAGAATGGTTTGGGTTGGACAGGACCTTAAACATAATCTGGTTCCAACCCCCTGCCATGGGCAGGGACACTTTCCACTAGGCCAGGTTACTCAAAGCCCCATCCACCCTGGCCTTGAATACTTCCAGGGATTGGGCATCCACAACTTCCTGGGGCAACCTGTTCCAGCGTCTCACCACTCTCACAGTAAAGAACTTCTTCCTGATACCTAATCTAAATCTACCCTCTTTCTGTTTAAAACCATAACCCCTCGCCCTATCGCTACACTGCCTGATAAAGAGTTCCTAACCATCTTCCCTGTAGGCCTTCTTTAGCTACTGGAAAGCTGGTATAAGGTCTCCCCAGAGCCTTGTCTTCTCTAGGCTTAACAACCCCAACTGTGTCAGCCTGTCTTCATAGAAGAGGTGCTCCAGCCCACTGGTCATTTTCATGGCCCTCCTCTGGACTTGGTCCTACACGTCCATGTCCTTCTTGTGCTGAGGGCTCCAGAGCTGGACACAGTACTCCAGGTGGGGTCACACAAGAGCAGGGTAGAGGGGCAGAATCCCCACCCTTGACCTGCTGGCCGTACTTCTTTTGATGCAACCCAGGATACAGTTGGCTTTCTGGGCTGTGAGTGCACATTGCTGGGTTATGTTGAGTTTCTCATCAACCAACACCCCCAAATCCTTCTCCCCAGGGCTGCTGTCAATCCATCCTTCACCCAGCCTGTATTTGTGCTTGGGATTGCAACGACCCAGGTGCAAGACCTTGCACTTGGCCTTGTTGAACCTCATGAGGTTCACACAGGCCCACTTCTCAAGCTTTTCCAGGTCCCTCTGCATGGCATCCCGTCCATCCAGCATGTCAACCACACCAGACAGTTTGGTGTCACCTGCAAAGTTGTTGAGAGTGCACTTGATCCCACTGTCTGTGTCATTGATGAAGATACTGAACAGTACCGGTCCCAGTATGCACCCCTGAGGAAAGCCACTTGTCACTGGTTTCCACCTGGAAACTTTCCACTTGCCGTTGACTGCAACCCTTGGGGTGCAACCATCCATCCAATTCCTTATCCAGCGAGTGGTCCATCCATCAAATCCATGTCTCTGATTTAGAGACCAGTATGTTGCATGGGACAGTGTCTAATGCTTTGCACAAGTCCGGGCAGATGATGTCAGCTGCTCTTCCCTTATCCACCAACACTGTACCCCCATTGTAGAAGGCTGCCAAATTTGTCAGGCCTGACTTGCCCTCAGTGAAGCCATGTTGGCTTTCACTGATCACCTTCTTATTTTCCATGAGCCTTAGCAGAGTTTCCAGGAGGATCTGCTTCATGATTTTGCCAGGCACAGAGGTCAAACTGACTGGCCTGTAGTTACCTGGGTCTTCCTTCTTCCTTTTTTCCCTTTTAAAAAATGAGGGTTATGTTTCCCCTTTTCCAGTCACTGGGATCTTCACCAGACTGCTACAACTTCTCAAATATGATGTATAGTGGCTTCGCAACTTCATCTGCCAATTCCCTCAGGACCCACAGAGGCATCTCATCAGGTCCCATAGATTTGTGCACCTTCAGGTTCCTTAGATGGTCTCTAACCTGATCATCTCCTCCAGTGGTCGGTTGTTCATTCTCCCAGTCCCTGCCTTTGCCTTCTGCGACTTGGGTGGTGTGGCTAGAGCCCTTACCCATGCAGACTGAGGCAAAAAAGTCATTGAGTACCTCAGCCTTCTCTGTATACCGGGTAACAAGGTCTCCCATGTCCTTCCAGAGAGGGCACACATTTTGCCTAGTCTTTCTTTTATCATTGATGTACCTATAGAAGCTTTTCTTGTTGCCTTGACATTCCTGACCAGATATAATTCTATCAGGGCTTTAGTTTTCCTAACCTGATCCCTGGCTGCTCAGACAATTTCTCTGTATTGCTCCCAGGCTACCTGTCCTTGCTTCCACCTTCTGTAGGCTTCCTTTTTCTGTTTGAGTTTGTCCAGGAGCTCCTTGTTCATCCATGCAGGTCTCCTGATGTTTTTGCCCAAATTCCTCTTTTTGTTGGGATGCATGGCTCCTGAGCTTGGAGGAGGTGATCCTTGAATATTAACCAGCTTTCTTGGGCCCCGCTTTCCTCCAGGGCTTTATCCGACGGTACTTTGCCAAGCAGATCCCTGAAGAGGCCAAAGTGCGCTGTCCTGAAGTCCACATAGTGAGCTTGCTGTGCACCCTCCTCGCCACCCTAAGGATCTTGAACTCCACCATCTCATGGTCACTGCAGCCAAGGCTGCCCTTGAGCATGACATTCCCCACCAGCCCCTCCTTGTTGGTGAGATGAAGGTCCAGCATGGCACCTCTCTTGGTTGGCTCTTCTATCACTTGGAGAAGGAAGTTATCTTCAATACATTCCAGAAACCTCCTAGACTGCTTATGCTCTGCTGTGTTGCTGTTGTTACATAAATATTAAGTGTTGAGAAAACTTAGAAATTAAACCACTGCATGGCTTTGTTTATTTCTATAGGATTCATTATGAAGTCTGTTACTGAAGTAACTGAAGTTACTTGAACTCTTCCTTTAGAATAGACATTCTGCTCTACATCAAAGGGTAACAAAATATTAAACAGTTAAGGAATTTTTCATGGAAAGTATAAAAAGGACAGTAAGCCTGTGTGAGGAATTTTACTATAGATATTTTTGTTTGTGAGCTTAGAAAAGTATATAGTGACTTTGGGACGGACTGTGAACAAGATTAAGGCATGAACATTTTTCTGCCTTTTATTGTAGTTGGTGTAGCTCACTCATAGTGCATGGACTGATCAAGGTTTGATCATACGCTATTCTGTCTTGATCCAGGAAAACTCTAGAGGAGGTAGAGCCAGATACACTTTTATATCAAAGCATACGGCTTTATATCAAAGCTGTAGGGAAGGGAAATCTACATTCTAGTCAACACATTTAATTTCTGTTTCTGAACATGTCTGTATTTTAATTTTATGTCATTTTGTCTAGGTGTATTTAACACTTAAAAAGCTGTCTTAAAAGGCCATCAAATTTGCAAGTATTTAGAAGCCAGGAAACGACAGAATTAAGGATGACTATGAAGTCTTAAATTGTTTTCT